GGATGGGGGTGGGATAATGAAGGGGAGGGGATGGGATTGGGATGGGAATGGGATAAGGTTTGGGATGGGGATGGGGGTGGGATAGGGTTTGGGATAGGGATAGGATTGGGATGGGGAAGGGATGGGGATGGGATAGGATGGGGGTGGGAGTGGGAATGGGATGAGGATAGGATTAGGATGGGGATGTTGATGGAATGGGGATGGGGATAGGATGGGGATGGGTTGGGGATAGGATGGGATGAGGATGGGGATGGGTATAGGACGGGGAATGGGATTAGGATAGGGAAGGGGATGGGATTGGGATTAGGATGGGAATGGGGGCGGGGATAGGATGGTGATGGGATGGGGATAGGATGAGATGGGGACAGGGATAGGACGGGGATGGAATGGGATGAGATGGGGATGGGATGGGGATGGGATGGGGACAGGGTTAGTGTGGGGTCAGATGGGATGGGATGAGCGAGGGGAAGGGCAGCGCCCGCGGGACCCCATCGCCCTCCCCCCGGGGGACAAAAAGTAAGAAAAGTGTAAAAGGGGAGGCACCGCCGCGCTACGGAGCCTTTTTTATTTCCCCCCCCCCCACGCCGTCGCTGCGGTTCCCCGGGGGATCCCCGCAGCCGCTGCGGCCCACGCGTGACTCGGGGCCCCGCGTGGGGCCGCGCAGCCCCCGCACCGCCCCGTGGGCTGCAGTGGGGGGGCTGCGGGACGGGAAGGGCTCGACCCCGCGCCCCCCCACGCCGAGGAGCCCGCGGGACCCCGGGGAGGGACGCTGGGGACACGCGTGGGCACCGCCCGACCCCGCGGGGGGAGCCCTCGGCCGGGCACAGCCGCTGCTTGCGGGAAAACCCACCACGGCAGCACTTGGATTTTGATTTTCTTTTTTATATTTTATTTTTTTTGGCTCAGAGGCGGCTCATTCCGCCGCAGCGCCCAGGCGCAGGCTTCCAATTCCCGCACGCCGCTGCGGGTTCGCCACCGGGTATCAGCCCCGCGGCCACAGCACGGGGACACCTCCGGGCGGATTTAGCCCTGCAGCCCCTCCGAGCAACCGATGAGGACGGCGAGGCGGAAAAAATGAGACGCCGGCTCTGGGGAGGAGGATGGGGACGGGCTCCGCACCCCGCTCCGCTCTCTTTTGCGGGCGATCCCAGGGCGCTGGGTGCTGGTGAACCAAGTGCCCGGGGAGCCCCGCTCCCCAGCCGGCTGCTCCGAGGGGAACCGAGAGGCAGGACTCACAGCAAAATGTCCCTTTTTGTACCCACCCCCTGCCTCGCAGCGTCCTCCTGATTTCACGGGCTGGAATTTTGTTGTGCAGAGCCGCGAATCGCCCGAACCTGTCGCCTCGCCCTGCGCGGAGGCATTATTTGACAGGCAGGGCAAAGTTTGGGCTTAAAGCCGAAAGGGAGTCATGACTTCAACCGCGTCGTAAAACTTTGCAGAAGTCTGAGAAATCGGTCCGGTTTGCGTAAATAATCCCCATTTTTCAGCTCAGCTGAAAAAAAAAAAAAAAAAAAAAAAAAAAAAAAAGAGTGAAGAAGGTTGTACACCGAAATGAGCCACGTGTTTCCAGGAGGATTTAATGCGAAAAAAAAATCACCCTTTGAGCAAACAAACAAAAAAGGCGATGCGGTGCTCTTCTCAAATAAATGAGACAAATTAAATCAGATCGGGGAGAAGGTCGTTTGTCACAGAAAATATTTTGGGAAATTATCACCATGTGTACTTGAGAGGGGAACAGCTGTTAAACACATTTCTTTATACTTATTTCTGTTCTTAAGTTAAATAAAAAAATAAAATAAAATAAATAAACAAACGGTGATGAATTGCTTCCAGAGTTTTAAAAAAAAAAAAAAAAAAAAAAAAAAAAAAAAAAAAAAACAGATGTGTCGATTTCAGATAAATTGATTTATCTGCCTAATTAAGTCCGATGCTCGGGTAAGCGGAGCAAGCACACGCACCCGGAGCACCTCCAAAACTCGCTGCGACATTTCGTTGCTTGATACCGGGAGGCTGCTCGCGTGGTTAATAATAATAATGAGGGATAAACACCATGCAAATGCGGTCTACGGAAATGTCACCTCTTCTCGCAAAAAAAAAAAAAAAAAAAAAAAGTACCGAGGACGGAAAATCATTGATGGAAATGACGTAGTGGGGAGAGCGCACTGCGCGCTGCTGGGGTGCTCAGCAGCAGCAGAGCCGCATCCTTCGGCCGGTCGTGTTCCTCCACACGTCGGCTTAAAAAACAAACAGGAGGGCAGGGGATCGGGGAACAGTTATCCAAATAAACGTGTGCTCGCTCGCTGCTGGGCGCCCTTTAATCCCAGGCTTTGGTTCGCTGGGAAATGCGGCCAATATTACCCATGCGGGGAAAAATCATTTTCCCAAAGCCGGGGAAGGGCAGAGCTATTCACGGGGGTTCTGGGGACTTAGGGTCTCCCCAAAGGCTTGCTGAGCCGCGAAGCAACAAGTGTCTGGGACCCACTCGTGGGAGAGGCCGGCCCCCACGCGAGTCTGCCGGGGCGCTGCGGGGCACGTCGGGGGCTGGAGCCGCGCCCGCAGCCCCCCGACGGCCTCTTTATTTCCCGAAAAGAGGGATTTCACCGCTTTTCCACCGCGAGGGCGTGAAGGGGGAGGCTTGACACCGAGGGGCGAGGGGTCCCCGACCCTCCCCTGGCTCACCCCACGTCTTGGCGGCTGTGGGACCCCCCCCGCGCCCGCCCTGCCCCGACGGGACGTCCGCCGGGTGCCGCTGGGGAAACGCCGGGCGAAGCGTTTGGGCGTGCTGCTGCTGCTGCTGGAGGCTCTCAGCACGGGGCCGGGGGTGGTAAAAGTGAGGGTTTCAGCCCCCGCTCGTCCGCCTGTGTGTGCTCGGTGGGAAGGCAGCGCGCCCGCCCCTCGGGTTTCCCCCGGGGCTCCGAGGTCGGAGCGCTGGGCTTTCGGAAAGCGGGGGGGCGAGGGGTTACGCGTGGAAAGGTTCGCGAGTGGAGGGGATGTACGATGATCAAGTGCTCCCACGAAGGCGTGCTGAGCTCGGGGTGTCGTCCTGAGCACCTACGGATAAGAGGGGTAGACCCCAGTCTGAGATATAAAGGTAAAATATTCGAATCGCTGGGCTGGATGGCTTCATTTGCCGGTTCAGGGTTGGCTTTGCCACCGCTTGGCTTTAGCGTGGCCGTAGGGTCCCCTCCCTGCTCCCCGCACGGTGCCTTCGGGTCCCGCGGTGCTGCGGGGACCCCGCTGCGGGCTTCGGGCAGCGGCGTTCATTTGCGGGACCTTCCTAGCGAGCAAACTAGTTCTGGGGGGGCAAGGCAGAGACGTCGGGGCTCTTCAGACCCGCTAGAGAAGGGAATTCTCCTTTTTATTCACCGAAGAGGACGACGCTGGCACTGGAGCTGGCATTTGCCCCGGCGCGGGTTTGGCTGGCGGGGATCAGCGCGTCGCCACCGCGCTGGGCAAAGGCAGCAGAAAAAATCGTAAAGGGAGAAAGAAACTGGGAAAGGACAAAAATATTTCGGGTTGGCTTGCAGGATGGGACCAGGAAATATCAGCTGGTTGGGGCTGAGCCTTTTTTTACCACACGCAGATGGTTGCACCTCTGGTTTCCTGCGGAACCGCCGGCGCTTGTGCAGTGCCATTAAAGAAAAAAAAAAAAAAAAAAAAGAGAGAGAGAGAAAAAAAATAACAAATATTTTTGGGACGGTCCAAAACTGAAAGCCGGAGCTTAATTTATTCTGGGCAGCTGAAAGGAACGAGGTCTTCCTTTGTGTCTGTTGCTCCGGGGGAGGGTGCGCTCTGGCTCGGCGCTGGGCGCTGCCCGCATCTCCATAGGCAGCAAGGCGAGCGCTGCACCCACCCGTGCCGCTGGCAGCTCCCAACAATGCGCCCAGACAATGCGAGCCGAGCCGAGCCGAGCCGAGCCGAGCTGAAGGAGGGGAGGGGAGGCTGGATTTGGCAAACCCCATTTCGCCCGCCCCGTCCTCCTTGCCCCGTCCTCGCCCGGGAGGGAGCGCGGAGCCTCCCGGCTGCATCCCGAGCCGCGGCCGGAGGTGTAAGGAGAGGCACCGGCAGCAGGAAAGGCTGCGAATCGCTGTCGTGTGGTTGCTATTAGCAACAAATCAGCTGAACAGCCTGCAAACCCCGAGCACCTAGCGCCGAGGTGGCGACGGGAGCCTGCGGCCGGGGAGGCCGCCGGGGCTGGGGAGGCCGCCGGGGCCGGGAGCCTCCCCGCGGGGAGCGGCGGGGCCGAGGGGGGGCTCCGCAGAGCCCCGGTTCTCCGGCGGAGGGGAAAGGCAACCCGCTAAAAAGAGACAAAATGGCAGCCTCGTAGCCATCCATCCCTCTCGGCGCCAGCCTCGCCTCTGCCGGCCCCCGCCGCTGCCAGCGAGGCCTCGGGGCGCGGCGGTCCCCGGGGCTCCGGCCGCGGCCGCTCTCCCTCCGGCCCGGCGCGGCCAGCCGGGGTGCCCCGCAGCCGTCCCGCCCCGGGGGAGGCGGCCCCGCCGCTTTGCGGGTCCCGCTCCGCGCCCCGCGCAGCCCGGCTGCGGCCCGACGGCTGCCGGCGGCGCAGGACGCGCGCAGGTTCCGCGCCCCCGCACCCTGCCCGTGCCAAGGCAGCGCCTCGCAGCACCCTTCTGCCTTAATTTGTACTGTGTTGGTTTTTTTTGCCCCGCATTTCCTAGACGAGTTTTTGGGCTTGCGTATGAAGGGCTGTCCGGGGTGTTTTCTTCTCTTGCTGTGTCCTTTATTTTCTTTCCCGATTTTTCCTTTTTATTATTATCATTTTTTATTTTTTCCATTTTTATTTTTTCCATTCTTATTTTTCCATTCTTATTTTTTTCCATTCTTATTTTCTCCATTCTTATTTTTTTCCATTCTTATTTTTTCCATCCTTTTTTTTTTTTTTTTTTTTTTTTTTTTTCCCCTACGTCCACCCCTTTCCGGCAGCCTCGGGACGGCACGACGCCGTCTCCTCCGCCCCCCCCCCCCCCCCCCCCACACACACTCCCAGCTCCTCGTCGAGGCGGCACCGCTGGAGCATCCCCGGCACATGCCGAGGGAGGAGCGAGAAACGCCCGTGCGGGCAGAGCCGCCCGGGAGCTCCGCGTTCAGCCCCGGCTCCCGGGGCGGCGTCTCCCGGCCTCGACCTCCCTCACCGAGGGGGCGGCCGTCGGGGGTCCCGGTTAGCCGGGAAGCGGCCCCCCGCCGCCGGAGAGGCCCGACCCGGCCGCTCCCGGTGCGCATCCCCCGCCGCCCCGGCGCTGGGCTGAAGCACGCAGCCTTTTGTCTCCGCGACACCGAGCTGCGTGCCGCGAGGATGCCAGCGCCAAACGACCGCCGAGCCCCCCCGGGAAGCCCCCGGAGCCCCGCGGCTCCCGGAGGAGGGCTGGCACCGGCCGGCCTCGGGGCGACGCGGGGCAGGACGGCGGCACGGGACCCGCAAAGCCCGGCCGGGGCGCTCCGCCTGGCGGCACGGCCCCGGCTCCGGGAGCCGCGGGGGTCCCGGGGGGGGTCCCGGGGGGGTCCCGGCGCCGCTCCCGTCCGAACCGGGCGGCGGGCGGGGAAGTTCCGCGGGCTCCAGGCGGGAGCTGCGCAGGCGCAAGATGGCCTCTGCCCGGGCGGCGGCGCGGGGGGCGGCCGGGGGGGCCCGGGGGGCCCGATCCGCGGCGGGGCGGAGCGGCGGGGGGGGGTCCCCGGCGAGCTCCCCCCGCTCCGGGCAGCCTCGTCCCGGCGGGGCGGAGCGGGGCGCTGCGCGGTGGCTCGGCGGCTTTGCGCGCAAGTTGCGCGGCCGCGGGGCTCGGAGGCAGCGCGCAGCCCCCGGGAGGTGCCCGCAGCCTCCTCCTGCCCCGGGGCTGCGGGGCAGGGCTGGGGCTCCCCGGGGGCTGCGCGTCCTTCCCGTGCGGCTGCTCCTTCTGTAATTAGCGCGGGGTAATTAGCGCCGATGTCCCGTCCCCGAAAGCGCAGGGGCCGAGGGTTTGTCCCGCTCCGCCAGGGTTTTGCTTTTGTCCCGGCGGGGAGCGGGGCGCGGGGCTCGGGGAGCTCCCCGCAGGCACAAAGCCGGCCCCGGAGCAGGGCAGCAGCTCGGGGCCGGGCAGCCCAAAGGCTTTCCCATCCTAGGAGGTAGGCAGAAAAGATGAAAAAAAATAAAATAAAAAAGAAACTGTTTAGAGTAAAATAAAGGAAATCCGTTTCGAGGACCCAGAGGAGAAGCGAGAACGTTAAAAATTAACAGCGGAAACAGGAAACACTTCGCTGGGTAAACACAGGCTCCCAATTTCGCCGTATGAAAGCCGGGAGGGCGCAAGGTGCTCGCCGGCACCGCGGCCACCCGCGCCCCGCCGCGGTACCTGCCTGCGGCCTCCCGAGCGGGGCCGGGCCGGGAAGCGGGGCCGAGGCGGGGAGAGCCCCGGTCCTCGCGAACCGCTGTGGTGGCAAAGATCGGAACTGCAGGAGCTGCCGAGCGCCGGGAGCCGAGCCGTCCGCCAGAGATGCGGAGAAGGGAATAGCAGGGCTCCCCGCCGCCGGGGAGACGGGACGGGAGAGCCGGGGGCGAGGTGAAGGAGAAAAGGATGCTCGGGGAAGGTCGGGGGGAAGGACGGGGTCCTCGCCCCGGTGTCAGCCCCCCATCCCCGGCAGGACGCGTTTCGGCAGCGCTTTGGCCGTCCCATGCGGAGCGGGCGATGTCCTGGGCGGAGGAGGGCGGCCAGCGGCACGGCCTCGACGGCTGCGGGGGAAAGGGGAGGAAAACGGTTTTCCGCCTGGAAGGACGCCTGCCGCTTTCTTTGTCCCTTCCCTCGGGCTTCCGAGCCCCCATTCATTAGCAAAGAAGAAAAAAAAAATAAAAAAGAAAGAAAGAACAAAAAAAAAGAAAGAAACGGGGGAGGACTTCTCAAGGCGAGGTTGCCCGCAGCTCCCCCGGGGCCGGCCGGGCCCCCCGGCAGCAGGGCAGGAGCAGCCCCCTCCCCGCCCGCATTTTCGGGCACATCGGCCCGGTACCGGCCTGCTCCGTGCAGGTCTCTCCGAGCCACAACTTGGTGCTCCGGGACTAACGGCTCGGCGGAGCGAGCTCCTCATGCTCCTCCTCTTTCTCTCTTGCAGAATTTTGTGTGCCTCCCTCCCGTTCCTGCCCGTCTTCTGCTAAAGCCTGGGAGCTCCTTGCGCTCCTTCTCCCTCTCCTTCCCGGGGCAGCACCGCCGGGAGCGCTGCCCCCGATCCGGCCGGGGCTGCAGGCAGCCGGAGCCGGCAGGAAATTTTGGATGGGCGACCACGGAAAAACCTCGCTTTGCAGCGGGCACGCACCGCGCCTGCCCCTGCGTTTGTCCAGCCGGACTGTGGAACAGGCTCCTAAAAACGCAGCACACTTCGGCTTCCATCCCAAATCCCAGCAAACGCAATGTCGGGTGGCGAAAAGATCCCTCTTGCAAGCGGATAGCCAGGATTTCTTTGCAAACAGCGGGGACTGACAGGCATTTCTTCAAAATCCCGTTCTCTGTATAGCTGCGATGGGAAAGGCGGTGGAAGTAGGAGGCTGGTGCCGCAGCTCCGCCAGCACAGCATCCTCAGCCCGCCGGGCATCGCCTCCCGGACCTGCCCGGCACCGCAGTGCCAGCTGCCCAGGGCCGGCAGCTCACCCAAAATTACTTTCACGGGGTGCCACGAGCATCCTCGGCGGCTTCTGCAGCCCGGCAGGGAGATAGCGGAGACGTTTGTTGTTTTTCCAGGCGGACCGGGAGAAGACGAAAGAGCTGCAAGAGCTTAATAAACCTCGGAGGGGATCAGCCACCTCCTGCTTCAGCGCCTTGTGCTGCGCGGACACCTCGCAAAGAGCAGAAGAAGTTGCGTTTAAAGGCTCCAAGGGATGGTTTTCAGCCCTTCAGAGCAGTGTGCGAGCGCACAGCCCCTCGGCTTGGGCTCGGTGTCGGGCTCGGTGCGAATTAAGTCAAAGAGCACCGAGAAATTAACTCCTGGGGTTGAGGATTCACGCCAAGACACACACCCGGGCGCACGGAGAGGAAGCTTTGCATTGAAACGGCTTTGGTTGCAGGGTGCTTTGAGGAGGAAGGCAGAGCACTACGGGCAGAGCACGGGGTTTGCCAGCACAGAAATTACAGGAAAAATGCCCCCTGAGCTTCGCCAGGGGCTAAACTCGGGCACAAAGGACGCGAAACGTGGGGCTGGCTGGAAAGCGAGGACACCCCCTTCACTCGGAGTAATCCGAGGTCAAATAAAGAACAGCAAACGTTTCCTAGGTCGGCACCCAAAACAAATCGAGGCGATTTCTAGGCAATTTTGTTGCTGTTATTTTCGTACGGTGCTGTTCTGTCCATTAAAAATCTTTTTATGCCCCCAGAAAGAGTGGCACTGAGAACGTTTCCCCTGTAACATCACATTATCAACACAGCTCGTTTGCTATTTTTCAATGAATTATCCCTTTTATTTGTTTATTTCTTTGATCAACTATAAATGAAAGTTATTCGTGTATATAAAACTGAAGTTTTTACTGTTGAAATTGAACTGTACATGTTTACTACAGGAAAAAATATCAACTCTTGTTTAACAAGACATTATACATCAATAAGCAATAACCTTGTGGAGGATTTGCAATCACCTGGTCTATAAAAACAAGCAGGACAAATAACAGCAATTTATATGCAAAAGTAATGATTTAATGACTATAAGCAAGACAAAGCAATAGAATTGTGCTTCTTTTGCAGACTGGAGACAATGAAATGTTTAACTACAATTTTCCCGTACAAACATGAAACAATATCCATATAGAATAAACACCCTCACAAATGTATAACTGATGGGTGATGAACACACACGAAGTTCGACCAAAGCAAAGCACAAACTGAAAAGTGTTCTGGGCTGTTCATATTTTATGTCGGAAAAGTTCCTTCTGCTGAAAAAAAATAATACCCTTAGAAGCCTCTAATAAAATGCACCTATTTGCAGGCCATTAAAGAGGAGGCATTCTCCACAATTTATTGGAAATATTAAAGTACCTGTTAAATTTTAATGAAGTTAGTACTGTACCATATACATATATATTAAAACAAATTTAGACAAAATGCCTTCACCCAGCAATTTGCTGGTTCCTTAAAATTTATACCAAATAGTTTATGGCTTCTATAATGATTCCATGTGCTTTTAAAAACACAATCCCACCACTCCAAATAATAAAAAGGTAATCAAACAGGTCAATTACTTTCATCTCCCTTAACTTTTTTTTTTTCTTCACTGCATCACTTCAACAACATTTGGTAAAGTTAAAATATACCACTTGAAAAAAAAAAAAAAAAAAGACAAAGGCAGTAAAATGCTTTTAAGATTGCCAATTGCCCCCAGGTTATCAGAGACTCGAATGTGCTTCCCCAATACTGTAGCTTTCACACGCAAAGTGTTTCTCGCAGTATGAGCAAAGCTCAAACAGGCGGCATCTGCAAGGGTCGAACCAGTTTCGAAATTTAACAACCATATCATGAGTGCATGAAACACAATATTTTCTTTATAGTATTTATAAATATATCATACAATACTGTTTCCTGTTATGTCATATACCAATATGGCATTGTACAATAAGCATAATGCCATCTGATTCTTACAAAAGCGAATCATTTAAACAAGTCAGTAAATAAAACGGTAATACCCGCTTTTAGGCATACAGATTGTAAAACTGAAGTTTACTTTTCTTTTGATCGGTTCTGCGCAGCAACAGAGAATTAAAGATGCAACATAAGAATCAAAATGGCTAATACGCAAAAATTGTTATTCACAGTGACATGGCTACATATATGCATTATTCTATGCATATTCTTTCCGTTTCGTTGGATTTCAAGATGAAAAAGCACTTGCTTTCTACAGGTTCACAAAACAGCATAATAACAATAACAATTGAAGAGAACGCGATGGAGGAGTTAGTCTGGATTAACAAACTACTTCCCAGGGGTTTTATATCAACTTCGGGAGACTCCCGGGTCCAGATGACGGGGACGGAAACAACTCCACATCATTCAGAACACATGAAGGTGTCGCTCCTCTTTGCTTCCCAGTCCTTCGAAAACAATTTACATTTCAATCTTGCGTCGCAATTAACGTCCACAGCGAATGTCACCTAGTCCGCCTTTTATAGCCAAGTTCAGTGTCACTACAAAAGAAAGCAGTTTGGACGATAGTCACATGGATTAGCATCTATAAAGCTGTAATGGCATGGAGAGATCTATAGAAAGGAGGGGCGGGGGCGGTAGTCTCGTGGGCCCGTCAACCGGACGAAGTGGCCGAGGAGCCGTTTATTGAGGTTTTCCGCGCTCTGTTGGTGAAGGAGGACTGGTGGTTACTGCTGGGGCTGCTGCTGGTGCCGTTCATGGTGCTGGAGATGTGCGGGAACTGGGGATGGGGAGACTGGACCGGCGTGCTGGGGCTGGGCAAACAGGAGGAGGTGGAGGGGATGCCTCCTGCTGGGCTGCTCGCCTTATCGCTCCCAGAGTCACTTTCTAGCTCCCCGCTGTTATTCAAGCCTTCCCTCTGGTGACCGATCTTCATTCTCTTGCAAGTGGGTCGCACTCTGTACTTGAGGGGCAGAGGGCCGTTCTGCAAGGCAAAGAGAAGCCCCCGTCAGCGCCCTGCCCTGCCCTGCCCGGCCACCACTGGGCACCCGCCAGCCAAGGTTGGGCTGCTAATTACCCGTCTCCAGGTGTAGATGTAGGCGATGTCCATTAGGGTGTAGTAGTCCTTCAAAGGCTCCTCTTCGTACATCACATCGATCTGCTCGAGACATTTAACCTTGCGTTAGCGAGCCGCTACGCTGCCCCCAAGGTGACCGTAGCCCCCAAACCCTTTTAAAAAATGCCTCGCCAGAAATGGAGCTGGGGATTTTTGCATACATTAAACGCGTTTGTAATGAGCTATGGAGCAATCTCTTGATACCTCGATATTTACATAAAAATTCAGGGTGTCACCAAACTCTGCCCTGAGATACTGTAAAATAATGCTCTTAATCCCACCAACATGTTGCAAATGCCCCGTTGTTAGCACTTGCTGGAAGTGACCAGAAATCTAAACCAAGAGGAGCGTTAACCAGCGTTAGCGGGGTTCCAACAGCAAGACTGATTAAACAAAAAGAAAACCCACTGGGTACCTGGAAAGTGTTAGGAATATCCATTTTACTCCGCAGGAACTTTCTTAGATGCATCACTGTCATTGCTGCTGGGCAGCGTAAGTATCTTTTGTCATTCACCTAATGACATAATAAAGGAAATCAGTCAACTGAGAACAAGCAATTACATCCCCCAAAGCTGCATTCTAACATCTTATGCGATATTTAAAAAAATGCGTGTTATTGAATTCTGAACCTTACGGTAACGGCTTCTACTGTTCTAAGGAACAATAGAAATAAGTGGTACCTTGCGGTCCCAGGGAAAGTAATTAAAAATGCAACTAATTTTATACATGAAGATTTGCATCTCATCCTGAATCCCTGTTAAGCATGTGTATGTGTTACACACTGATTTTTTTAAAATAACCAATAAATAATTTATTGAGGAATGACAAAAAAAAATAGGTTCAACTTTAAATGCAACGCTCCAGGTATTTTTTATTTTTAAGACCTGGTTGCATACACGGTTGTATGGAGCTGTTCTACCTTTTCTCTCCCTACTACCGCAGCAGGAGGCGTGCTCCTCTCAGTCCGGACACAAATCTCTATCTATTTTTCTCAGCTACAAACCCGCTCAAAAGATACTGGTGTGCGTGTCACGTTTCCTCTGGAGCAAAGGAAAGTTATTTACCTCTTCCTTTGATTTTTCTTTCTCCTTGTTTCCTTTTCGTTCCAGTCTGGGAGAAGAAATGAAACAATTACAACAAATAGTAAATATAGCTGCTATCAGTCAGGTAAACATAAAATATTGCCATTCAGGAACTTGCCTATTCTGGTCAAAGAATTCAATGGATAAGCTTATTATCTCGTCGTCTGTTATAATTCTTTTGTCTTCGTCAGCCACTTCTCCCCTGTCTTCATTAGAGCCATTGGCAGCTGCGCAGAAATTTCCACAATAATTTACATTTTGAAATTCAAATCAGGAAGAATGGCAATTCTCAGCAACAAGAAAAAAAAAAATCTCCACAGCAAGATTATGAATTAAATCTACCAAAGTGCTAAAACAATGAACGCCCATTACTCTGAATTTACATCTTAAAATTCTATCGCGGCACCGCTTAATTTGTAAGGTAAAAAGGAAACAGGGAAGCATCTAGGTCAATGCTACAGCGATTTAAGTTGTGAACGAGAAGCGTTTACCATCAGCCGACGGATGAGCAGCATAAAAATCCCTTCTTCTTTTCATTTCATCTAGGTGGAAAAGCACACATTTTTGTCTTTTAGTACGTGCCCTGTAACTGCTGGCAGTGAGACAGGGCAGCAGTTCTGGTTTGGGGTTTTCTACTCTTAAGAAAAAAAAAACACACTCGTTTAACTACTTACTTTTGAAAAGGCCTGGCACTAGCTTGTATACAATATCTTGGAGAGTTTTATCTGACCTGAAAAAAAAAAAAAAACAACCACCATAAAATTAAGCAGATGAAGCAATATTTTAATCCGAGTGGCAGCTCCTCATTTATAATCTTTCACAACAATGAGGCATCTCCTGCAAAGCGGGAGGCTAGTCATAAAAAGTTAACTTACAAGACCTTATAATCAAGCTAACACTCTTCTAAAGGCTGCTATAAACCAACACCCGAGCGATCTGCGGCACAACAATTGAAAAATAATTCTCTCAGACTGGAGGAAGGCCCTGAAAACTACCAGTCCTCCAAATGAAGGGGGAGAACGGGAAAAAAAAAGCAACAGCGAGAAGAAAATATTCCTGAACCGAGAAGCCTGCTCTCGAGGCTTTCAACTTTCAGCCTGAAAAGCTGGAGCAGCATTTTATTTTATTTTTTACATGGCTTTGCTGGATGGCCAGACTGAAGCACATCCGTGAGAAATGGAAAGTGGGGATAAAAACTGTCGGATCGGTATCCATGAGAATGGGGGGAGAGGGAGAAGGCATTGTGGCAGCGGTTAGCCTATGCAAAAAAAAAAAAAAAAAAAAAAAAAAAAAAAAGACCCAACAGCAACTTTCTGCCTCGCATCCAGCGAAATCTTCAATTTCCATCAATGACAAAACTCCAAAGAGAGAGCCTACGCGCAAGTTAGCTCGGAAATTGACAGCTCCTTTCAGATTTAAATGGCACACCGAGAGATAACATCAGCACAATCGCCGCTGGCCTCCCCAGCCGGGGGAAAACCAGAGGAGCGCGGCACACCTCGCCCCCCGCTCCTACCTTATGTTCAAAAGCGGCCGGGTTTTGTGAACTTGGACATCGCAAATGGGGCAGTACTTGCTCGTCTCCAAGTAACGCACGATACACGTCTTGCAGACTGCAAGGCAAACACGGGGAGCCTTTTAGCCAGAGGTGGAGGTGCCGGCGGAGCATGCATAGAGCGAGGTGCGATCTTCTCAGCTATGCAAGCCCCGCAGATCGTCCATCGGCAGGAGCGCGCTGCTTAAGCTCGACAAATACCCAAATAAGCCGCGATTAACATGAAAAGGGGACGCTCGGAGTCCATATACTCGGACTTTAACAAAGAGAGCAGCAGGGCCGGCGGCGGGAGGAAGCCGCTCGCGGCGGGGCCGGCCGGGGGGCGGCTGTCCCGGGGCTGTCCCGGGGCTGTCCCGGGGCTGTGCCCGTCCCCGAGCCGTCCCGGGGCCGTCCCGGGGCAGGGGCTCGCCGGGCGCCCGGTGCTACTCACACGAGTGGAGGCACTCGATGATGGTCGTCGCGTCGATGAAGTACCCGCCGCACAGCACGCACATCAGATGGGGGTTCAGCTCCGTGATTTTGATCCTGGTGGTCCGGTGCATTTTGCCGGCGGAGCGGGCGGCTCTGCAAGACACGCGAGCGGCCGGCGGGCCGGGTGAGCGGGGCCGAGCGCCGCGTCCCGGCGCCGGGGCCCCGAGCCCGGCATCCCCCGGTGGCGGCGGCGGAGGAGGCGGCGGCGAGCCCGGGTCCCGGGGCGGCTCCGTGCGGCTCGGGGCCGGGCTGGGCGCAGCCCCGCGGAGGCGCGGCCGCGGCGGCCCCCGCGCCGCTCGCTCCCCGCCGGGCACCGGGCTCTCGGCGGGGCCGGGCGGCGGCTCTCGGCGCGGCGGGGAGCCCGGGGGGGGCCGGCCGGGCACCGGGCTGCCGGCGAGCAGCACAAAGGGGAACCGGCGCCTCCCGGTGCGGCTGCCCTGGCATTTCCGGAGAGCGGGGAGGGGCGGCGGGAGGGGGGGGGGTGGGGGGAAGGAGGGACCGAGATTGGTGAGGGGGGGGGGTAGGGGGGGGGGCACACAGACGGGGGGGACACGCACCTCGGAGCGGGGTCCGGGCAGCGGGGCCGGCCCGACAGGGGGGTCCGGGCGGCTGCCGCTGCCGCTCGGTGCCGATCCGGATCTGCTCCGCTCTCCGAGGGGGTTGCTATAGCAACTTACACTTACACTTGGCATCCTGCCACCGCTGGGAACACACGAGAGCCGGGCGGGGGGGCGGCTCGAAGGGGGGGGGGGGTGGGGAGGGAAGGGGGGCCGGGCCGGGCCGGGCCGGGCCCGGGGGGGGTGGGACACGGGGCCCCGGGGGGCTGCCCGGGGGGGCGGGGGAGCCCTGAGGGTTTGGGAGCCCGGTGGCGAGGGGATGGTGGTGTGGGGGGGTGAGGAGGGCATGCAGGGGGAGGTGAGGATTTGGGGACGCGGGGGGGGGGGGACGTGCCGGGGGGTGCCGGGTTGCGGGGTCTGAGCCCGGCGGAGGCGAGAGCGGGAGGCTCCTCCCGAGCCTCGGCCATTTCGGCTCCTCGCAGGGGCCTCTCTCCACGTCGACTCGGGGCGAGGAGCTGGGCTCGGATCGCTCCGCTCCCCCCCGCCGCTCCCTCCTCCCCCCGCGCCGCCCCGCCGCGCTCCCGGGCCCCCCGCACCGCCCGCGGGGTGCTGAGCCCGCTCCGCGCCGCGCCGCCGGGGTCCCGCCGCCCCCCGGTCCCCTTCCCTTCGGTCTCCCCTTCCTCCCCCTCCGCCCCAGCTCTCGCTCTCTCTTTCTTTCCTTCCTTTCCTCCCCCCCCTTCTTTTGAGGCTCATTTGAAAAGCCTCCCGCGGACGAAGCGAGAGCGGTGCAAAGTTTTGCAAGAGGTGGAAAGTGATTTGCAGCACCCGGGGCAAGGTGCTCGGGTGGGAGGCAACGCACGGCTCCGGATCCTTAAAATTAAAATAAAATAAAAATAAATAAAATAAATAAAAAATAAATAAAATAAAACCGCCTCCTTTTCAGTCATAAAGCACACCAAGGGAAGGGAGAGAAAAAAAAAAAAAAAAAAAAAAGCTCAAACCGACTTTAAACGGTACATTAGTGACAACATGCAAAGGACCATGTGACCAAATCATTCCTAAAGCTAAATCAACACCTTGTCAACACAATGCAGCGACAAGAGTGAAAAACAAATGTCATTTTCACAGTCTGAGAGCCATAAACCCCCATCGGATGCAGTGGCACCAGCGTTACATGCACACGTACTATTCAAAAATGAGAGGGAATAAGAGCTAGAGGGGAAAGTACACAGCGGGAAAATACCCTAGCAGCCACGTCAGTTGCAGAGCGAATTATTTTCTGTCAGCCAGATCCTGAAAAATGCGAGGTACCCGTGTTAGCGAGCTGCATGCTGCTCGTTTTCCCGTGCCGGCTCTCCCAGCACAGCGGCTCGGCTGCCTGTCCCCCCTGTCGCCGAGCCGCAGCCCCCAGCCGCCTCTTGCGAGCTGGGGCAGCCTCCAGACGCGAGGCTCTCCCCAGCTGCTCGCAAAACTTCGATGCTGGGCAGCGCAGGCAGCCCCACAGCCCCAGCTCTGCAAACGCTTTGAATTTCGGCCAGCCCGCCCAGGACAGGGGTAGGGTATTTCCCGAGGAGTGCACACACAGCGCCAACGAGCGACCTTAGCAAGGAAACTTCTGCTGCTGCTGCTCCAGGAGAAGCTCGGGACGAGCCGCAGAGCAGGCTCCCCCAAACCCAAAGCGGAGAGAGCGGGCGAAGAGAAAAACCGAGTGCGAAAAGCCCCGAGCGACGGCAGGTCCCCAAAGCTGCTGCTGGCACCGGGCAGGAGAGCGAGCCCCCCGCTTTTTGGGGCTGTGCTGCCGCTGCCACGGTCCCTGGCCCCCCCTGCACCCCCGGCCGGCGGCTCGCCCCCCTCCAGCACGGGCAGAGCCGGGGCTCCGGCCCCCGGCCCCCCGAGGGAGCCGAGGCAGCGGCTGCGGGGTGCCCCCGGGTCCCCGCCTGCCCCGGGCTGTTCGTCCGAGCCAACACCTCGGAGCTGACAAATCCCCGAAGTCCAAAACCCGTCGGTGAGCGGGGTCAGGCGAGCCGGCTGCTAGAAATCCTTCCCCGCCAGCCCTGCCTTTCTGGGACAAACCTTGCAGGACACCGACGCGTTTATTTCACGCGAGCCTAGCCCCTGCCCAAGCGGAGGAGGATTAAATCCAACCGTGAAACCCGTTTTTGTCGAAGCGACCCCCTGAACGCGGGTTATTTATCGCCGGGAGTTGGAGTTATCTTTGCCATCAGAGACTTTCCCCGGCCAGCAGCAGCGGGCAGGGATCCCCTCGCCGCCAGCCGCCCCAGCAGGCACACGGACACGCGTGTAAATCCCTGCGTGGGGGCCACAGCAACCCGCCGCGTTTCTCTCCAGCAGCCCGAGCTCAAGATTTGGGGAGGAGGGAGACCCTTTCAGTATTTTTTTTTTTTTCCCCTGCTCGTGGTGATAAGACGACGAGTACCGACACTTCACACAGTCAATACAAACAGCCTCTTAGCCAGGACAATACTTATTTACACATTGACACATGGGACAACCAGACGTAAAATATCGGAAGATAATGCTTGCTGGAAGTAAACACTGCCAGCCGACTGGTTATTTAGAGGCCTTAAACGGGCTGTGTCAAAATGAGGAAAAACAGAAGTGCATTCTCCTGCTGAGGATCAGCTACATTATTAAAAATCCATAAACGCAATAAACTATCAAAGCTCGCCTGACAGGTCTCTGACAGAAAATACACCCGCAAAAAAAAAATAATAAAAAATAAATAGAAACATCACTGGGACAGGTCTGTGCACTTGGTACCTATCTCCACTCGGGAAAGTCTCTCCTCGTCAGGGAAGAAGCTGTCATGCCACATCCTCACCTACTATCAGCCAGAGCCACTTCTACTGAGAAGTCTGTTACTGCTCTTTCACGTAAGAATGCCCCCATGTGTTTTTTAAGGAGGGACGGTGCTCCTTTCAAAGGAGGCATAGGTAGCTCAAATATCCTCGCCCAGCACGCTGCGGCCAGGAAAAGACCTGAATATTGGCAACAGAGTGCACAAGGACCTCAGCCCCTTCAATAACCTCCCTGCAACTACGTGAACTCCACAGTCGGTCCCCTTAAAAAATGCACGAAAATGTTAATTTGGCATTCATTAAGGGATCAGGTAGGTCATCGCTTCGTATCTCTGGCAAACTGCACCAAAAGTGCGTCTCAGTTTCCAGGACGTGCTGCAAATGGGCAGTCTCGGTAGTTTGCCCGGACTGCACTTCCAGAACCTGCTCGGTCTTTGGGACGGTCCCATCAAACAGGCTGCCCTGAGCACTACAGACCACGCAAAAAAAAATTAAATAAATAAATTCCAAAAAATCCATTTAATGCCCAGCTTGCAAACAGGCACACGCGCCCAGGTTTTCCTGAACTTTTTGGAGAGTGGAGGAGCGAATCAAAGTTTCTAGCTGCTGAAAAGTGACTCTCTCACTTTTCCAGAAACGCGTGTTTTTGGCTTATTTTTACCTGTTTACTCGCAAATATTTACAGCAAACAGGCGGAAACACCCCGCGTTATACACTGCCAAGGCCAGACAATCGCAAACACATCCGCAAGCAACTTTCCAGCGCTGCCCACAGCCTGCACGAGGATCCCACTCGTGACACCTTTCAGACCTGACAAAGGATTCCACGTTCACGTACCCTTCCCGGGCTCAGGAGGAAAAAGGAAAAAAAATAAAAATCCCCAAGGCAGGAAAGAAATCCGAAAACCTCTCTCCGTCCCACGGGCACATCACCTTTGCTCCAAAGGCTCTAGCAAAGCGCACACCCCAGTCCCCACAGCTCGCAGCCAAACTGCTCCCTTTGGCAAATTCAAAATTCAAAAAAAAATACAAATAAAAGTTGTTCCTCGGTCCTGGTCGCCCCCTCCCCGCCTCTCCCAGCGGGGACACCCCCCCAAACTTTCGCATTTGAAGCACAAATGTAAGAGGAGACACTGGGAACAACTGGGAACCGCCATCTTACGAGCCATCCAATTTCCCCCAAGTACTTGTCCAAGTTAAGTTAATAACATTTTCTGCTGGGCGCCCCGGAGCCTACCAACCCCTCCAGGAGGATCGCTACCCCCCGGCGGCTCCGTCTCTATAAAATGGGGGCGTTATCTGACATTTTGGGCTCCCCCGGACGCCTTTCTTTCGGGGAGGACTGAAATCACTTGACCCAGGCAGCTCCAGATTTCACGACCGTCCCTGTTTAATCAAAATCTGCCTTTAAACAAAGGGCGCTCAGGCCGGGCTGGCAGCAGGGTCTGCAAATATAAATATTCTCCTCGGGGGCCGTGTGCCCAGAAACGTTTTCGGGGGCACCTGGGGGAAGAAAGGAACTAAAATTTGCCAATGTGGGTGCGCAGCGAAAGCGAGTGCACGGGCTGCTGCTGCTGCTGCGTGTCTAGATGTGTGCGTGTGTGGCTGGAGCAGCCTGTCAGCGCTTTTCCCAGCCGGAGAGCCGGGGGGACACCTAGGCTCCCCTTTGCAGCCCCCAAACCGGCCGAAAACCGCCGCCGAGCCCCCGCCGCCCCCCGCCGTCGGTGAGGAGACACCTCGCTGCATACATACCCGGAGGAAGGAGCCGGCGGGGGACGATCGGAGCGGCCAAAAAAGACAATGAAAGTTAAAAGTCGTTCAGCAGAAAATGAATGTGAGCCAAGCGGCCATCTTGAAATGAACTGCAGACGCTGTCAATTGCAATAAGCTTATTGCTGCTGCCGCCGCCGCTGCGCTCCGCTCATGTTAGTTACAAAACGCCCGGGTTTTTTCCTCCAAGCTTCCACCGACCCTTCGGGCTCCCTCTCGCTCCCTCCGAGCCTGCCTTTTCGGCTGGCTCAGGCGCCGGGAGCGCAAAGTCTCGCTAATCCGGATGGGTCCTCTCTCCACCAGCCCATTGTCTCTCCCTCTTCCCCCCGCTCTGCCTCTCGCTTTCGCTCTCTCTCTCTCTCTCCTCTCCCTCTCTTTTTTTTTTTTTTTTTTGTCCTCCTTTTTTTTTTTTTTATTATTATTATTTCATAGTTGGTGGCGAGGGGAGGGAGGAGGAGGAGGAGGAGGAGGAGGAGGAGGAGAAGGGAGGGGGGGGGGAGAGAACGGGGGAGGGCGGGAGGGTGGAGGAGGGAAAAATGCAAGGCTGAAGGCACACACTGCAAACTGACACCGGCCCCAAAATGGCTCGGAGTTCGCCCGCCCCGCCAGCGTCACGTGGGGCTCCTCATTCCTTAAGGGTGGCCTGGGAATTAGCGGCCGTGCCGCCGGAGCCCGGCAGCCTCCCCGTGACCCAATCCCGCAACCTCCTCCTCCTCCTCCTCCTCCTCTTCTCCCTCCTCCTCCTCCTCGCCCTCCCCCTCCTCCTCCTCCTCCCCCCCTCCCTCCCGCCGCCGCCCCCTCCCCTCCCCCCCGGCCCTACACGCGCGCCGCCGCCGCCTCCTTTTCGCCGCCGCCTCCCCGCCCCGCCACGGCACGGCTCGGCACGGCACGGCACGGACCGACCCCCGCCCCGGACCCGCACCCCCCCGCCCCCCCGGCCCCCCCCCGGCTCCCCACGCAACGCCCCCGATTCCTCCTTTTTTCTCCCCCCCCCCCCCCCCCCCCGGCTCCTCTCCCTTTCATCCCCTCCGCTCCCCCACGCTCACGCGTGACCCCACGCCCCCCCCCCCCACATCCACGCCCGGAGCCCCCCCCCTGCCCCCCCACGCACTTGTTGCTCCCGCCCCGTCCCGCCCCGCGTGGGGACGCGCGGCCGCCGCCCGCCCCGTCGGGGCCCGCAGCCCCCTCGGAGGGGCCGGGGAGCGGCGGGGGGGGGTCGAAGCCGCCGCCTCCCGCAGCCCGGAGCCGGGGACACGTCGGGGACACGCGGAGGAGCGGGGCCGGCCCGGTGCCGTCGGGCGGGGAGCGCCCCGTGGGGGCGGCCGGGGCCCCCCGACGTGCTTCCCCCGCCGGCAGGTGCTCGGGCCCGGCCACCTCGGGGCGGCGGAGAGCAGGGGACGAAAGGACGAGCCCCCCCCTCTCCCCCCCCCGCCCCTCCCCGAGCCGTTCGAGCCGGCGCCGTCGAGCGGGAGCCGCCGCCGGGGCTCCTCCGCTGCGGCGGGCGGGCTGCGGGGCGAACCGGCCCCCAAAAAATTGAACCAGGGCCCCCTCCGCCTCCCGAGCCGCAGCCCGACCTTTAATCCCGGCCGGGATGCGAGATCGGCCCCGCTTAAAGCACGCAGCGAGTCCCAAGCACCCCGTGGGGCCGGGGCCGTGCTCCGCAGCCCCGCTGCTGGGGACGCCCGATTCCCCCCCCCCCCCCCCCCGAAAAAAAAGGAGTAGGAGCGAATAAACTTTATTAGAAACCAAAGAAATAGAGGCACAGGGAAAGGGGAGGAATGCTTGGAAGACGGCAGTTGAGTGGACGTTTAACTCCAGGCGTGATCTTCCAAAAAAACAAGCGAGGAATAGCAACTGCGGTCGTAAGAACAGTTATTTCCCTTAATTCTCGTCCAGGAGATCATTAAAAAAGCTTCAGAGCACGAGATGTAAATGGAGATGAAAGACATTTGTCCTTCAGAAGACGCTTTTAGGAATCAGTACGTGAGCTCAGCAGGCTGGCTCCTTCCTTCAGTCACATCTGAGTCGCTCTTTCTAGACTCTTTGCAGCATCTTTTAGTTTTCCCACTAAATCCTGAGAGACGGAATACCAGCTTAGAATAAACATTTTTAAAAGGTCAGCTAGCAGGAGAACAGAATATTCTTTTTGCACACAGAGGGAAGGGAGACCAGCATCCTATACCACAAAGAATTGTTGCAGTTGACGAACAATGCCAGCAAGTAATTAAATAAATTCCTTTTTTTTTATATATATATATATATACTGTTGTAAAAAAGCAAGAAAAGTTGGAACTGAAGGAAAATGCCTTTTATCGTATATGATCTCCTAAAATATATAACTACTTTTTAACGTGCAGATTTTATTGGTATGGTTGCAATGGCTGGTGCTAAGAGGTGCCAGGAGCTTTTGAGCACTATATACATTTCTAAAATCCTGAAAATATTTTGAGTGTAATTTTGTGCTGGGACCATTCTCCAGTCAACGTACGCCAGGCTTAAGTCAGTCAGTGAACCAATTTAAAATACTCTCTAGCATGTCAAAGACAACTTTGGAGGCACATGTGAACCAAACGGCAGCATAAACCTGAAGTTTTAATATCTTGCCTTCTCTGCCCCAGCCCCTCTTCCCACTCTCCCCCAGTTTGCTCACTTTCAAGCACTACAATACCTCCATTGTTCAGTTACACATTTAAATCGCTAAACAAAGATCAACGTTTGTTTCACTAGGTTTCTGACGTGCCATTAACGCCACTGAAGAGGCTCCAGCTCGCTCTCTATTTTCATTCGTGACATATTTCAGCCAGTGAACCGCTTTCCTTAATCATTTCCCCAACCCGCGGGAAATCAGTTTCAGAAAAATGATGCATCCCCTCCCAAATATACGCATTGGTTATGAAAACAGACCAAATATTTACGCACACATGGAAACAACACATGCAACCAAAATCAGCTACTGTACAGCTTCATTTGAGAAGACAGCAAGACCACATCCAGGTAATTTTGTCAGAAGTCTCCCCCCACCCTCCCAGTTCAGGATTTTTATTTTATTTTTTATTATTTTTATTTTTTGAGCATAGTTTCTATCACTTAATTATGATTGACAAGGTGTTAAAAACATTTACATCCACAACCGGAGCCAAGCATAGAAACAATGAGGAAGGAAAGAAGTACCTGCAATTGCTCCATCGTGCAACTAAAACTAACATCTGGGTGCGATCCTGAATCACTCTGAGGGAAAGAAAAGAAAAAAAAAAAGACACACACCAACAAAAGACAATTTTATTAAAAAATGACAAGGAATTGCATTTTTTCCTCTGAGGGTGAGAGCAGTACCGTACCTCCACGTTTAAGGTCACCAAATAGGAAGGCTGGTAAGTTTTATGAAGTTGGTTGGTCTAAATTAAAAACAAAGAAGCATTGAAAAAAGTCAGGTCTCAGCACTGGGACAGACTAATGAAACATGTTGATGCTTTGAGATTACCTTGATCTGATATTCCAAGCGCCAAGACACATCAGTTATATGGAGGGGAGATCTGCCTATGCTGAAAGACACAACAGTAACAAGTTCCCTAAGCTAAAAGGAAAAGTGAATTTTCTAAAGCTGCCCATCAATAAAGCCAACAAGTTTCTCAAGATACTTTTAATGCTCCTTGAAAAGTTCAAAAAGTTACTTAAAAGTAGAATACTGAGAGGAGGAAGGAAAGTTTCAACAGCTGTTTTCTAAGGGCTGTTAAAAATGTAAAAAAAATAAAAATAAATAATATATTTTTAAAAATCAATATTTTTACTTAATCAGGTGAAATATGCATGGATGTTTTCCAGGAGAGTTTCAAAGTAGCTTTAATGGGCACTGAATCACCTACCTTCCCAACAGGATTTCCAAGGCATCCTTGTTTTTCTGAAGGAAAAAAAAAAAGAGAAAGAGAGGGGGAGAGAAAGGAAAATATATTTGGAAGCTTCAAACAAATTGCTGCAGGAGAAGGAGAAGACCAATACGTTCAAATTGAATTCAAAACCTGGTATTCGGTGCAAAACTGCTCGATTCTCTCTTTCTCCAATTTACAGTCTTCCAGGCACGTGCTGCGGGGAAGCAGAACTTCTCATCAGCCCTCTGCTAGCCCCGGCTCGGCCGTGAGCCAGGGCAGCAATGGGGTGGCCGCAGGGCGCTGCTGGTACCTGATGGCAGCCACGTCGGCTCTCTGCTTTGCTGCCTCCAGAATGCACATCGCAGCTGCGGCGTGGCAGTGCTTTAACACCGCCGGGTCGATATCTTGCAGGTCTGGATCGTCTACAACAAACGCCCCGCTGAGGAGGGCAACGCCGAGCCCGCAAACTTCGCCCGGGGTCGGGGACCGGCTTGGGGCTGAGGTCGGGACGAAGGGGAAGGGAAGAAGGGGAAGGGATGGGGGATGCTACGGACCCCGCGGTGCGTCCCGGCGCTGCTCCTAACTCTCCACCCCATTAAAAACGATAGGAAAAAAAAAAAATAAAGCGAGGAGAAGCTGGGTTTCCTCTGCACGCCCCGCTCGCGGTTCCCCGGGGCGGCTGCGGGTTAAAGGCAGGCTCGCAGCCGGGGCACCGCCGCCCCCCTCCGGCCCGGCGGGGAGCAGGGTGCGGGGAGCAGGGTGCGGGGAGCAGGGTGCGGGGTGCCGGCGGGGCTCCGCCGCTTTGCATCCTGCCGGCGGGGCGGCCCCGTGCAGCGGCACCCGCGGGCGAGGGTCCGGCGGCGGTGCCGGTGTGCTCGCACCTCTGTGCACGCACCCGCGGCGCTGCACGCGTGCACACCCCCTCCTGCATGCACACGCGGCTATATGCATGCGGGCGGTCCTATATAGACGCACGCCCCTATATGTGCATGCACCCGGTCCTATATGCACACAGTTCTACATACCCGCAAGCAAACCTATATATGTGCATAACCCTATGCTCGTGCATACCCCTATATACATGCACACCCCTATGTGCATGCACACAGTCCTATATATCCGCACACAAACCTATATGCATGCATAATCTTATATTTATGCATAACGCTATACCCATGCACATGTATGTGCATACAGACCCCTATATGGATGCACACAGTCCTATATACACATTGTTATATGCGCGCATGCGAGCCTATATGCATGCATACCCCTATATTCATGTATACCCCTATGTGCATGCACACCCCTATGTGCACACACACCTATATGCACGTACACCTATACGTGTCCATACCCCTATATTCATACATACTCCTATATTCATGCATACCCCTATAAGTATGCACACAGACCCCTATATGCATAGCCAAGCCTATATGCGTGCAATACCCCTATATTCATGCATGCCCTATAAGCATGCACACAGCCTCATATACACACAGACCTATATGCACATGCAAGCCTATATGCTTGCACACCCCTCTATGCATTCACACCCCTATATGCACGCACCCCTATGTGCACACACACCCCTATGCATGCACACCCCTATACCCCTACATGCACCCCCCCCCTATATTTACACACCCCCCCGTCCATGCACACCCTTAACACCGAGCACCGCAGCCCCACGCAGGACCCCCCCCCCACCCTCCCCAACCCCCTTTGCACACCGCATCCCCCCCACCTCCCGCAGGTGGCCCCCTTAACACCCCCCCCCCAATCCCCTATTACAACCCGATCCCTCTCCCCTCCTCCCCGCGCTCACCCAGGCCGCCGGGGGGCTGCAGGAGGCCGCGGAAGGCGGCGCGCAGCAGCGCGGTGTAGGCGGCCCGGGGGAGGCGGCGGGGGTCGCCCAGCAGCCGCCACCCGCCCTGCGCGGCCGCCGACAGCTCCATTGTGCCGCCGTGACCTTCGACACGCGCCACGTGACGCGCGGCAGCTGATCACCGGCGGCGGCGGGGGCGGCGGGGCGGAGCCGGCCGGGACCGGGGACCGGGAGCGGGGGGCGCGGGCGGGCGGGCGGAGGCGCCGCCGGGGCGAGGGCTCCGCGGTACCGCGGAGCCCTCGCCCCGGCGGCGCCTCCGCCCGCCCGCCCGCGCCCTTCCCGGCCTCGTCACCCTGAGGAAGGCGCCCCCCGGGCCTTCCCTCGGCTGCTTCCGAAGCCTGTGAATATTCAGGATTTTCCCCCCTCAGTCGCCTCTTTTTTGATGTTCTGAGGAGAAAATCCTAACCGGGGCCGGCGAAACGGCCCGCGGCACCCCGCTCTGAACGGGCTGAGCCGCCAACGCGTAACCCCAGCCTGCCCTCGACAAATTTACTGTGGTGTTTCTGAGGCGAAAAATCCCAAATCTCAGTCTGAAAGCAATACAAGCACTGACAGGGACGCTAACGCACAACCGAGCCTTCCCTCCACAAACCTTTATTACAATATTTCCGAAAGTGGAAATTCAGCACCAAAATCTCCTCATTTATTTATATTTTTAAGAGTAGAAGCTAAAGGCCCCCGCCTGCTTGGTGATTTTTAAATAACATATACATACTGACTGAACAAGCCTTATTCGTGGAATATTTCTCCAGTGGAAATTCCACATTGAAATCTCTTCATTTTCTTTTTTAAAAAGTAGAAGATAAAGGCCCCTGCCAGCTTGGTGATTTTAACATAACGTCTACATACTGACAGCAAGCTAGTCCTTTCCACATTACAGATACATTTCAGACAACGCAGCCTTTCCACGCTGCACATACATTTCAGACAACACAAAGTGTAGAAATGACCAGCTGCCAATTATCACCAAATACATAACATAAAATCATGTAAAAAGAGCAGTTTTTCCTCTACATTTGCAATGCTTCTTGTCTGACATAGGATTTGGTGAGGAGAGTAAGTCAGATGCACTAGCACATGTGTAAATGTAGTGCAACATGTAAAGCATATCCCGTGCATACCCCTATATATTGTCATGCCCCCATATTTTATCATAACCTAATTTAAAATCGGTGAGCATCCCCTGCTCTTTGGGTCAGCTTCTGACCTGTGCCGCGATCCCGTTGTATTTTGACACTGCTGCCAGAGGAGTGGACCTCGTGCTAGGAGAGAGCTTTGAATACCCAAATTTCATTTCTCCTGACCTATTCCAGGCGATTGACTGGATTTAATTGAAGAGCTGTTAGGAATTTTGTATCCACATCTGTACCTGTCACTAATTGTAGACTGTCATCTAAGAGCTCAGCCAAGGTTTTGAAGCCAGTTAAAGTTTTGTTCCAGTGAGAACAGTAAAATTGTATTTTATCACATCTAGCCACATCACATTTTACATGCATTTAAATGTGTTTTCTCTTTGTGATATTAATCCACTTCTTTTCTCTAAATCAGCTGTCTGCCTGTCACATACGTTTCGTCCTCAGTACTGATGCAGGACACGAGCAATCAGGTTGCTGGCACTGTGGGTTCTCCGCTCACTAGGTAAAATCATGCATTGCTAAACTTAGGTCTCAACTATGCACAAACTGAGGTAAAAATAATAAAAGTCTACTGCCTGCAGGATCCGGCCCTTAATTTTGACACACCGTGTAAGCTCAGTGTCAGGTCTCCCGGCAGCACGAAGAACGACTGCGTACATTTTTGGTGTATGATCTGATGTGATAGCACTGGTCCGATGCTTTGGCATACAAATGAACACCACTGAATTGATGAACGCTGAGCTTCAGAGCTCTGCCTGACAGAATTCCTGCTGATTTGCATTTTGCCAGAAACTAAAAGGCATGACAACAGCAAGGTGGGCTGGCAAAATCAGGCTTTCTCTGTCTTGTGGTATGGTTGTCAAATATAGACACGATACATAAGAAAAGGCATAAAATGGAGGAGAAGAAAAACCATAAAATGGAGGAGAGGACAAAGCTCTGAGCTGTAGATTTACAAAGGTGCAGAGACCACAGCTATGGAAAAGGATTGTCATAAAAAAACTGTTAGCAATGTACACATATGGCATGGTTACATGCTACAGAAATCTATTCTTCAACATCCTCTTATCATTTATAGCATATTGAAATATATAAATCAAAATCTATCTTTTACAGACAAAACAACTGTTAAGGATTCATTACAAGATTATACAGCCGTGTCAGTCCTTTAATTAATTTTAATCACTAAATTTGTGTTCTCAATTCCCCTGCCCAGCCTCTCAGCCTGACCTTTATTTTTCCTCTCTCTCTCCTTTTTTTTTTTTTTTTTCTTTCACCCCAAAAAGGACAGAAGATGGATTCACAGGCTGTCAAACTGGTATCAGATTTTACTGCCTGTGCATAGTGTTTACATGTTTTAAAACCTCGCTCATCATAATTTCCAAGAGGAGGAAGCCAACATGTATATCAAATAAGGAAACTACAAAGGAAATGCATTAATATTTGAATATTAATTAATCAGTGAAACTACCTCAGTCCATGTGAGCTAGTCTTTTTTACAGCTTGTTCTTTGTTACTTAAAACAAAATAATGCAACTGATCAAAATGAGGGGAAATCATTTTGCATGTCATGTGCACTAATTCATAAAATTTAAGAGTTGGTGTAAGTATTGCTGAAAACTCTCAGAGTAGCATTTTTTTCTGTTTATTCTTTTTCACAGAGTGAGAAAACAGTAACGTAAGGTGATATTTCTAATGTCAATTTTAGTCAAATTATTACTGACTTTAGAGTTTCATCCACAGAGTAATGGGCTGCCTCTAGAATCTCTCTTTTAAGTTAGTAGTGAGCCTACTAATTATAACTTAAATATTTTGCTGGGGAAAAAAAGTGTTTGAAGCAGATAAGAACATTAAATAATTTGTGACTATTTACTACTAAGTTTGATTTTGCATGGATTAATTTCTGAAAGAAAAAAATGACATTCATGTTTCATTCGCTGATATTATCATAGCATGAAAGAAAGGGAGCATGCATACTCAAAAAGGCCCAGAAAAATGTCCCCTGTGCAAATGGTAGAGAAGTGCAATATAGCAAATAAAATACTGCCTTGAACAAAGCTGTAACGTGGGTTATTTAGTTGGTACAATTCTTGTAGACAGTCCTCATAGCTGGTGAAAGCACAGTGCTTCACATCTATTTGCAAAAATATTTGATACCCTCAAGTTTTTCTTGTATGTATTAATTCCAATAAATGCCTTGTCTGGGTAAGGACAAGGACTATTCAATAAAACCTACTTTGTTTGCTCACAAATAGTTCTGATTAGCAGATCAGGAAATTAACTTTTGAATTATATATGTGAAAGCACTTGATTTATTTTAGTAAGGTAAAACCTGTAGTAGCTGAATATAGTTTTGATCAGGAGTTTAATATTTCTTATTCTAAGTTTAATCTGAAAAAAATGTTTTCACTCTTAGGTACTGGTTTTGAATTTAACTGACGTTAATTTAGGTAAAAAATAAAACAAAACAACCAGGACTTATCTGTTTACCTTTTGATTTGCTTCATTCTGACTTGTTTCTGTCTTCTGTTTGTCAAAACTTAAAATCTTCCTGCATTCCCCTCATATGTGAAAAGAGCCATATATTCTTAGTCTGTAAAAAAAAAAATGTTAAGAAATACTAAACAGACAGCTTTCACATTTAAATTTTATTCCCTTTTAAATTATACACATTTAAGCTATTTATGTTACAATCCCTATTTAAGTACTCAGGAACAGAGACAAAACAGAGAAGTTTTATTTGTTTAAAACATCATAGCTGCTCAGATTTCGAAAGACAGAGAAAAAATCTTGCGTATTATAAAAGTCCCCTTATTTTACTAAAATATTTATCAAAACAAACTCTTAGAAATGCATTTCTTTTTATATTTTATATGTTAAAAAAAGCACAGGGAGAATTTGCACATGTCCATGTGTAAGATCACACCGAAAATGAATAATAAAATGATGTAATGATTTGGACATGTAAGCAGGCATTATTGTGATGTACTGGACAACACATCCTCCAGGATAGCAGCTTTATTCTTTTATGGATAGTTCACAGTAGTATGCACAGTTCAGAGTCGTACTAATTAAGGGGAATTACTGCATTTACTGAGTTTTCAGTCATGCTCTTTCTCTCACAGAGAAATAAAGCTCTGTAGTTCAGATTGTTTGCTCTTTCTTAAGACAAAACTCTAGTGTCTTGGACTAAATTCAGGGAGATTTATAAACGAGGCCTACACGAAGGTGCTCACCTTTAATGTTAAATGAAGAAATACAAAAAGATTCCCGTTGCTTTAGGGAACTGTTAGCATGATTCCACGTCTACTCCTGCGTCGCAGATGAAAGTAGTTTTGTCATACTCACAAAAACGCTAGGAAATGTTTTTTAATGTTTGTATTGGTACTCTGTCTCAGTAAACAACAGTTATTAGCAGTAGATTTTAAACTGACATTTTTGCTTCCTTTCAAATCATCTGACATAATCTGCAGACGCTTCAAAGTTGTGCCTACTGTTCCTGCTGCTCAAGCAGCACTCAGATGTCACACGCTGCGCTGCAAGTACTTTACTTTTAGCCTCATTTTTTAGATTTATCGAGGAACGTATAGCCTGCGTGTGCTTTTAAACAGCAAACTAAATGCATTTGGAATTTGTCAATGTTTTAAGTAAGACTTTTTTACGTGTTTATGCACTTGGTGGTGAGATTGCAGCCTCGCTATTGGAAGCCTGTAAGGAGGATATTATGCTCTATTGTCAAGAAGCATTCACAGTCTGTCACATTAGTGCTAGAGATGTGTATAGAAGAGTAATTATTATAAGCTGACATCCAGCAAATGTAAGTAAAAATAGATAAACCTCAAAGGAAAATGAAGCTGTACAGTTTAGGTACTATTTGTCTCCAGATGTTCAATGTCAGGGCACTAAAATGTTGTTTACCATAGTTGGGGAAATAATTTCGTGTTTATATAACAAACAAATGTGTTTTTCTTGTAGCTCTGCATTTAGTTAGCTTCTTATCAAGGTAGGTAATATAAAAATACAAA